CCAATCAATCATCAAGATGATTTGAATTAAAATAATTTCTATTCAATGATTAAATCAACAGTGAATTCATTGTTATTAGATGGGTTTTTTTAAATAAAAAAAAAACCGCAGGATTTCGATTGTTCAATGATCAATAAAAATAATAAATAAATAATTAAATTTAAAAAAAAAACAACAACAACAAACAATGCAAAAATCATTCGTTTTAATTATCATATTCATTCTATTAATCATCATATTGAATCGGACTACAAATACAATAAAAAGTGTATGTGTATATTGACTAAATGGAATAGACATTAATAATGATCAAGCAATGTAGGTAGTAAGTTTTGATTAACATATTTATATTTATATAATAAGCGATTATGTTTGTTTAATTGTTTGAGTGTGTGTGTGTGTGTACATGTACACGTACACATTATTTTCTTTTCAATTTTCTCTATTTTAATTTTCTTTTATTATTATTTTCTTTATTCCTTAAGCGTGTTTAATGTTTGTACATTGATAAGAATGATAGAATCAATTGTGAGAGAGAAAAAAAATTTTGGTGAAGTTCAATAACTAGAAAAATGAAAAAAAAATAAAATAAACGAAGAAGTTCAATCTATTGGATAAAGTTTATGATTTTAATAAAATTCAATAATCCCCAAAGTTCCATACTAAGAATAATGGATAACACTATATAATACATGTGAACTAACAAAATAATATAATTTATCAATAATAATCCAAATACTCCTGACCGTTGTTGCTACCTTGACGTGGTGGTCGAGCTTGCCTATCGTGATGAAGCAACCGAGCTATGCTGACTGGAACAACTGTTCCTCAGGGTCCTACCAAGGTCAGTTGAAGAACGGCAAGACTAAAAGCAACAAATCCAAGGTCCGAAGGTGAAGTCGTACTGCTGACTGTACAGAGGTGTGACAGCAGTAAGGTGTTTTCTTCAGACAACCAGCATGATACCGATGCTGCTTTCTCACAAGGAGAGGTGAGGTTTCGAAAAGGTCGACCCTAAAATGCACATCTTATCTTATCCCACGGATATCCGTCTCAAGCGGTAAGATCTCAACAAGTACGAAGCTAACACAAAAATTGCCCATAAAAAGGTCGTGTGTGACCGACCTCAAGCAGTTGTCCCTTGGGCACTGCGATTACGCTCTCAGATCATTAAGACCACCTCTAATCCAATTTCCTTTTCAGGTACCTCCAGAACAAATCTTCCACGGTGTGGGCAACCGGGAAGTGACAACCGCGCTCATACCTCTAACAGCACTCAAGACCACTGACTGACTGACTGAATCCAAATACTACTACTACTGTGGTATGTGCTACTTATATCGACATAAGTAGTATATGTTAGTCAGGAACAGAATGTCTGGTAGCAAAGAGACAAGAGGGTCGAACAGTAAAGAATGGGAACAGAATACAATTTGTATGAAAATGTAAGTCTGAGTCATTTTAAGACAATTGATGGACATTTTGCAAATTAAGCATTTACTATATGATTGTTAGATTTGATTAACAGGTTCTGTAATTTCTTGTCAAATGCATTCGATTGTCCCCAATGGTGTTCTGTCCACTACACTAATAATAATTATGTTAATAATAATAATAATAATAATAATAACTTTTGTTCTACTGTTTCAAAGATGGTGATTTTTTATCAACTATTTAGGTCAGTCAGATAGTCAAAGTGATTAATGTATTACTATATGCACTACACTATGTCATTCGATTTATGTGAGGGATGCGATATTCCCCGGGTGCCCAAACCGAAGGAGATAGTCTTCTTAGGAGGTAACACTCGAAGTCTTCGGCCTAGAGGTCTAATCTACAAGGCTGTGGAGTAACGTTAGGAGATGTAGTCTCATGGTAACCGGTGACCAACAATGGTTCGTATGTCATTTTTTCCCTCAGGATACTGGAGCCCATGTGCACCACTGGTTTGGAATCAGGGTTTTCTAACTCCCTCGTTGGTGAACCAATTATCAAACGAATGTAAAACAAACCTCTTGAAAAAAACACTATAATGAAACATATATGAATATACATACTCATATGTAGGTTAGACAGATAGATGAATGAATGAAAATTTGGAATAAGTACCTAATATCTACACTTAATAACCTTAAGGCTTAACAGACGACAGACACATTAGTTCAGTGTAAACCAAACGTAGTTTCAGAAAAATAAATGACTTTTGATAATTTAATCTTTGTTTTAAGCGTTCTTACAACAACTGAGATTACTTAACAGACCTCATTCAATTACGAACAAGGAAAATGAAATTTCCCACTTTACTACCCCTATCTACTACTGAAAGAAACGACATCACCCACCCGACGACGTTGACAGTTGTTAGGGATACGTAAAATATGTGCCAACAGATTCAACTTGTGAAGATCCACTACTTAAGCAATCGATTTGCCATCCTTACTCATTACTTTGTGATTAAAGTCGGTAGTCACAAAATATACAAACGATGCTCTGATTCCAGATCTTTAATTGAGTACTAGTAACATAAAATATTCTATAGGAAATATAAAGAATGGATAGATCTGCACAGATATGATCGATTCTAATCAACATTGCTCACAATTTTCAACCGTTGGTCGTGATTAGGGCTTTGATCATAAACCGATTGTCAACACTAATCAAATTACCTAACAGGTTAACAGCTAATAATTTCATAGACCGAGGTCAATTTTTAGATTTAGCTACTTCACTCCGAGATTTCTTTAATGATACCTACTTTAGATTCAAGACCGTTAAAATACGTGGCCCTTCTAACACCAAAGGTTAGAGGTAATATAATTTCCGGAAATCGGAAAATGATTACAAATCCCTTAAAAATTACTACAACATTAGAAACAACTTACACCTAGAACAATCATTATTAACATCAAATTGTAACTGAAGTCTTTCTTTTTACCACCACTTGAGAGCAAAAAAATTCACTATATGCTTTTAATTTCATCGTACAAATGAATAATCACTAACCTTTAATCGGAATCAAGTGAATCATCCTGTTCTTCATCAGATTCACAAATAGTATTATTATTACTCTTACAATAAAGTGAACTCTCCAAAGTAGAGTTAAGACCATTTATGTCCGTTGATAATGGAGTGATTTCTTTCAATAGAAATAATCAAAGAAAATCAATTAACATGAGAGTTTTGATAATTGAACAATTATGTTACCTTCAATTCTTTAGAAAAAAAAGGATCTATAGTCTAAAGTTGGATTATAGAAAAAACTAATTTGTAAGTTACAAAATAGCAAGTTATGCAATGAAAAAAAAAAGTATACTGAAGAACAATTCCGGAAACTTGATATCGATCGTACCTATACGTATAAACACTATGAATAAATGGTTCTAAGGTATACAATTCAGTAAACAAACCTATAAACATTCATGATCACATTGTTAACAAGAATTAAGTTAGAGTGAAAGTGTATGTGAATCATGCCAAAATGAATCGCTTCTTCATATCTTTCATAGAATTTGCTATGAATTATATTTCTGAATGAAAACTCATTGAGGACGTTGGAAAAGTCTAAATGGTATTCAGAAACCATGAAGATAGAAACATATATGCAATTCGACGTTTTTACAAAATAAAATCTGTTATTAATGAAATCCATAAACAAACCCGCAAAAACAGCCTTTTAAATAGCATACCCATCCCATATATTTTATCAAGAGTTTCATTTTTATAATGATATTGTACATAAAGATAATGAACGTTTCTCAACTACAATATACGATTTGTAAAATAGTAAACCTTTTCATTCAAGCAGAAAGTTCAAACGAATTGGAAACTTTTTAAATTAAACTTATGTAATACTGATATTATTTATAAGTAAGACAAAATAAATATATGTATATACATGACAATCTATGTAAGTATAAATTACCATTTTTAGTACGTACCGGGTAAATTTAGATGCAGGGTATTAGAGAATGATGGTAAATCAATTGATGAAGTTTAAGTCTTCACCGACTGAGATGTTTGGGCCACGTGTTATGTATGCCTGAACATCGATTACTACGACGCTCAATGTTGACTAGTGTTATGATGGTTGGAAGAAAGTTAGGGGCAGCCAAACCAAAACGTGACATCAGTCCACAAAATTGCTAACTTCTAGTTTTAGCTATGTTGGTAGATACAGACTACTTGGTTGGAGTCTGCGCGACTATCGTAACTAATGATTGGAGACTTTGGATGAGGTGACTCAAAATCGATCACAGTGGCGTAGGTGTATACACTATTTGTCTGCCCTTAAACCGCGAGATTAGAATTGCTTTATACCTTCCTTTCTACGAACTAATTCATTTTTCCTGTATATTATTTCATATGCAATCTTTCTTTTATATATTACTACCATTGAAGTAACAGCTTCTGTGGATTCGGTCTTCATTTTGTTGTGCTAATAAGGTGTAGCAACTCGGAGTGATGCATATATGTGCTTAGTCCTACATTGTAGCTGACTGGCTGATTGCTTTCACTGAAAAGAACCACACTGTCTATGTATTCTATGTAGATTAAAGTATCTTAGGTAGAAAAATAACGGCTGGTCTATATTGGGGTGTAAAACATTGATCTGTAAAGATTTTATAGAATTGTTTCTTTAATGATTGAAATTAAACGTACATCAAATGGAAATTCACACAGAAATTTAAAGTCTCCAACCATTTTTGGTTGAAAATCAAAAAGGAAACAACAATTCGAATTAAATCACTGTTCTTTAATTACACAAGAACAAATATGTATCACACATAACTTATCGACTATATTTTAAGATCAGTCAGTCAGCTACAACCGGTGACATACCTCTAACAGCACTCAAGACCACTGTATTCATATTTTAAGATGCACTAAGACAAGTCACATCACTCGAAAATATTGGAAAATTAATGATAAAAATACATGATTTAGAACCAACCAATAGCTTTCAACTACATCAGAATACTATCATTATTTGATTAGAATAATTAATACTTGATTTTCCATGGTAAAAAAAGAGGAAAACAACTTACATGAGAATATTCAAAGTCACTGTTCGTTAACAAAAACACTTTCGCACCATTCACTCGTAGCCTATATTAAGAAAAAAATAACAGAATGAAACATTTTACCGTCTAAAAAGTCCGATCCTTTTCAATAATAAATTAGGCATACGATTAAGATAGAATGAAATAAATTTACCGATCTAACAAAGTACATAAACGTGGATCTCTTTCGACATATTCACTAATATTTGCCAAAGTACGTTGTTTTAGTTCTCCCTGCAACAAAATTTACAAAAACGTTAAAGGGTGTATGTGTCAATAAATTACAGTAAATCGTGAATCTCAGTTTCATTCCACAATGCTATTATCGAGAAACACTTATATAATGATGAACTATTAAATATAAGTTGAGTGGAATGCTTTTCAATGATAGTGTAATATGACAAGAAACTCAGTTAAAGAATAAAGTCAAAATGATCGAATTTCACATCGAGAAATATTATCATTATTTTAAACCTAAGCAATATTTTTGTCGAACTACACCAGCAATCTCATTCTAGTCAACTGAAATATTCGTGCGCTAAGCTAATTATTTCCAACTAGGTGTGACGTTAAAGTGTACTTTGGAGTTGTTACTAAATCTGTTAACTTGAGCTTTTGTTCCAGTAATAACTTGAGTTTGGCAGAATCTATATTTTACCAATCTTATCGCCATTTGATACATTCATGAACTAAGTTAATTAATCATAACTTAGAATTCATTAAAATGAATGAGTATGACCCAGCTGTCTTCTTTCCTATCCACTAGTTAGTGTCGGAAGTTTAAGTTTAAACAGAAGCTCTTTGATAGATACTTCAGACCGCTTTGACTACAACCATTTACTATTTGGGAAGCAAATAATGTAGACCTGATGGGAATTGTATCAACGCAAATCAACACACTATGAGAGGATATCGAAAAATTAACACGACAGAAACCAAATACGCGTAGTTAAAAACAACACAGACACATGAATAAAAGCTTCAGGAAGAAAAAAAAAGAGAAAAGAACGTACCAAAGATCTAAATCCAAAGGAGGAAAAATAATGAACACACCTACACCAACAAATGGTTTTAAACTATTTTAAAAAGGCTCCCAACCATTATTTACGATTACTTTACGTCTCATAGCCGACACAATTCAATGAAGTAATTAATAAACACATGTACTAATGGAATATATTAGTCTACCAAAAAACAAGGAAAACATTTTTTGTGCCAAAATTTCGCTATCGATCAACAGAATGGAGATTATGGGACTTTAGAATGAAAGTGGGGATCCAATAAGGAAAATAAATACATGACGTTTAATTGTGCTTAGAATTGCGTGTTCTCATTGGAACGTCTTCCAACGTACGTTTTCCTACTGATTTTACAATGACTGACCAAAGGTGGACCAATAGTATCAGGATCGTTGAGATTCCTCAACGACATTGAAACAGAAACGTTAAAAAGATAACATACAATAGAGAAGTACGCTTAATTCAGAGAATTCATGGATTCATGTGCACAACTTATTTACCTAACATCGTAAGTCAAATTACCCGTACACCATACATCAAATATTTATCCTAGACAATCATCAAGATCGAAAAATTAAATTATCGAGTCAGTCACCTAGTCATCAGTATAAATGTACACCAACCTAATTTGCCACATATCAACACATTGAGATGGAATTATTAAGACGAACATCAGAGGAATATTAGCAATATTAGTAACGATAAATAACAATAAGACGTGCGACTCGACAACTCACAATAATAAATATGCAATATTTTCGGGACAGGATAGACAAAGAGAATGCAGTTATGAGACATAAACCGACCAAGTTCTAACCTGTAAGTATATTTCGAAATTAATTTATATTTTCAGATAAACGGACAGAACTCCTCTAAATTACCTTGAATGACTTTTGATTTATTGTTGAAATGAAACGGAAGAGAACAATGATTCTTAACGGAAGTCTCGTGAAACTATGACGTTTAAGTACGCCCTATTGGAAAGTTAACCTTGGGTACTTAACACCTTCCAATTTTAACTTCACACACCCACTGTATTCATAATCAAAGTCAATGTGAAAGGTAGTCATCAACTTATATATTCCCTAAGCATTAACCGTATATACAGTCTACCACGTATGACAATGAAATTAGAATGAAACCAAAAAATACATATTATTACTCAATGTGTATGCACACTTCCAAATGTCTGTCCAGCACAAGAAATCTGTCTATGGTTGGTCGTATGATAGTCTACAACTAACTAGCAAGAGGCCAGAAAAAATTGACTCAGAGAAAGATTCATTGAATGCCATAGACAAATGAAAAATGTAAACAAGATATCCCCAATTAAACATCATTAAAATCATATGAAAAACAAGTAATTGAAAGAAATACTTGAAAAATTTATAATTCCACTTACTCTATGCATCCAATCACAAGCGGTTCTTACGTCTTCATAAATTGAAGCGTATGACATATATAGAGATCCTTTTTTGACACCATGCTCAACTTTTATATAATCAGGATCGTTGACGAACATATGGATTATACATGAGAGTATGTAGGTTTCTAAAAAGGTAAATTGGTTATAGAATTTTCCTACCTGGAAGACTGAATAAAGTGTTCATTATTTCAATTCGTTTCTCGTCGTACTTCACAAACTTATTTGGATACATTGATCGAAGTTCTTCCCTATATGCCATAAAGACATTTAAATTGGCTACTTACCTTTGGATAAAATTGAATCCACGTAAACATGAAAGAATATTGCCAAACTGATCCATTTTTAACAGAGTACCATAAAGCCGATCAAACCATAGGCCTCTAAAATACAAGACGATACAAAATTTTTTAACAGATGAAAAGAAAGGTAATTATCATCCAACTACGAGTAGACTTAGAGTTTAATGAATGAAACAAAGTTGCGGACGTCGACGAAATATACCTTATGGCATTTTTGAATGTTAAATGGGACTCGGAAAAATAAAGACTAAGTCGAACAATCAAACTAAAAAGTTAACTAGCCGTAAAAATGTGGAAATCTGTGCAATCGTTATACACTATACCTGAAATCGAATTTTGTCTCCACACAAAATGGGCTATTAAGAGATCAACATAAGACGTTTTTCCTTTGACTTATTGTAGTTACAGACGTTCACCTAGCCGAGTATGTAATACAAGATAAGTCACATGACTTTGCAGTACGTGAATAGGAAATTTGACATTAACAACAGGGAAACATCACAAACACTATACTTAATACTCGATTCAACTAACCTCAGCGGGAACGAGGGATCATAAACAAAATCAGAAGTTTTCGGAGGATAGCCCAGTTTTATCAGCCGGTTTTTTATAATATTAAATGCAAGCTCTTCATATTGTGGTGATTTATACTCTATGGGTTTGAAGTGTTGTTTCTAAAAAAAAATGAATGAGACTTACGTGCTAGAGTGTAGTCCATATCGAATCCGAAAAACTTTATCTTGTCTAGCTGCAAGCTCCGGTTGACAAATATTCTGAAGAATAGTACTTTATTTCTTTAAAATACTGGTTACCTGTGCTTTGTCTCACGTTTATGGACACGAATACTTGGTACAGATTCATATTCAGTCAACTCAGGAGTATCCATCTTATTGTAGAAAAATAAATTTAAAGTGATGATTTGACAAGGGAATCTCTCACAGTCAATAGAGGGAAATGGAAATGTAGAGTATTTTCGAAAGGTGTTGAGTAAGAGAATGTGGAGTCGTGGAAGGATTAAACAAAATAAAATGCAATAATGAACGTATGTCAGTATGCTCTTAAATCAATCATAAATGAATATTTACATTAGTTAAATGCTTTTTACAGTATTACTGACATCCGGAAATGTACTTTTCAGCGATACTTTCTTTCGTAACGAACTCTTGAGCCGTTAATGTTCAAATGGTTCAAATGGTTGAAATGGTTGTGAACGGAATGGAAGAAGCTTTCGCTTAACAGGCTTCCGTGTCTAGTAGCAAGGGATCACAAATAACTCCAGGCAGGAGCCTAGCTATATTAACGATAAAAGAGGAAAAAGAAATTGGTAAATCATAGTATGATACTATCCTTAGACCTTTTAGTGGCCCGTGGATCTGACTCCTATTTAGATCGTACGAATGTTTGTTACCGCCTATTCTCGTATATAATCGTCGACTTAAATCACGTTATTCAATAAAGGAATTAAATAAGTCGAATAACGAGAATAGGCGATAACAAATATTCGTACGATCTAAATAGGAGTCAGATCCACGGGCCACTAAAATGGTGAGCCTGACGTGATTGACAGGGTCGAAATATGACTCAAGTAGAATGAATAGAAAGGAATGTCCGAAAGCTAGAACAAGATATATGGGCTTAATATAATACTGACACTACAACCTTAAGAATAGATCAAGTTGTCTCTTAAAGGACTCCTGGGAAAACTCTTGGACTAGCTCGACCGGCAGAGAATTCCAGCAGTCGATAACTCTTAAGGAGTAGAAGTTGCACCTACAGTCCGTTTCGATATGTTTTGTCTCCAGTTTCTAGGTTTGTATTGGCACTAAACTTAGGTAGGTGTTTACGGAGATGTCCAGAAGTGTTAAGGATACTGTAAGCCATTATAAGATCACCTCTAAGACGCCCATACTCCTGAAGTTGGAGATTAAGTGATTGGGGGTGCCCTTCATAGGGCTTAAATTTGAGTCCCCAGACTGATTTTGTGGCTCGCCGTTGGATACGCTCCAGCGTGTCCCTATCCTTTTGGAGTTGAGGGGAAATACTATGTTCCCGTACTCTAAATGGGGACAGATGAAAATGTTGGAGATTATATGGAAAGTTCTTCCATCGGACTGGCCAAAAATGCGCTTCAGTGTTACCAGTGCAAGGTTTACTCGAGAGGCATTTTTGCCACAGTTAGCGTAAGACTTTAAATCGTAGGGCACCAAGACTCCTAAATCTTTTTCGACTCGGGATACTACTAGAGAGGAGTTTCCCAAGTTGTAACCATAGTCTGCGACATGTCGCACATGGACTACTTTACAGCTTGAAGTGTTAAAGGTAAGTCCGTTGTCGTCTGTCCAAATTTGAAGTCGAGTCGGACCCTCCTGAAGTGCCTGTATATCGTCTTGGTTACGTACCTCTCTCCAAAGTTTCACGTCATCAGCAAGGAGCAATAAGTCTGACGTTACCTGTTAAGGAAGATCGTTTATGTAAATCAAGAAAGGAAGAGGTCCCAGTACTGAACCCTGGGGGACCCCACTAGGACATTCCATAGACTGAGATAAAGTGAAGTTAACCCTGACCATTAGACGTAGATTTTTTAGATATGAAGTCAGCCAATCAACTGGAGGTCAATTGAAACCTGATAGTTAGAGCTTATTGATGAGACAAATATGGTTAACCCTATCGAAAGCTTCCGAGAAGTCAAAGTAAATGACGTCAACCTTCCCCTCGCGATCCATCTGTCCACCGCAGTCAGCAGGTTGGTTATACAAGAATGACCCTTCCTGAAACCATGCTGCTAGGATGAAACGAAGTTTAAGGATAATAAATATTCGTGTAAAGCGTCCCATATCAGGGACTCCACAATGTGAACCAGTTTCCAAATTTCAGATGGCCTGCGAGTGTGAGAACATCACACCAAGCGGTGGTGACAGGATTGAAGCCTATTTTCTCAGTATAGAAGAATGAACCATATCCGGGCCAAGAGGTTTTTTTCTTAGTTGCTGCAGTTTCCGGAACACCAAGTGAGCGCTCAGGTTCCCTCCTGAAATTCCTGTGCAGTTGCAGATGAAGCTTCCATCAATATAGTTATTACGGGTAGGTTGAAATGTCCGATAGTATTGTTCAATCAAATAGTTAGCGATGTTATCTTCGGTATGACAAAATAGGAGCGTGTTGGTATCAGGATCCATCATTCATGTAGACATGAAGCGAATAAGGGAAAAAACGATGGTAACCGAAAATTTCGTCAGAAAAAAGCTATAAAAAATGAACATAAGATGTCCAGGTCAACTTTTTGGAAGGGTGGAGAATTATCTAATGTGGTGAGATATCGCAATGATAGTTAACAGAGTATCTTCAGCTGGTCCGACTTTTATTATGCCATTATCATAGAGTTGGGCTTCTAAGGTAAAAACGATGGTGGACAATAGTTTGACACCATAATATGCTGTCATAAATTCTTTCTCGATAGACTCATACTAAATTGTTCATAGTCTAGATAAGTACAGTTTGCTTCTGGGTATAAGTGTTATTATGGCTTCTATCTGTCGATTCGGAATTACCTACAGTGATTTTGACGTATATTCAAGCAATCTGAATTGCGTGTGGCTTTGAAAATCAAACAGTTCAGACTTTCAAATATATATACATGTATAACTCGATTGAATGATTGCTTGGTCTTGTTTTCTATCCGATCCTAAATACCGCAAACTGAATCCGCACGCTTACTTTAATACTAAAGAAAAATTGCGTAGTGCGAAGACTCCTTAGACTAGGGTTAGACATATACTGAACGTTGTACGTATTTATCTGTGAAGATCAGCTTGCTTAATGTTTTTGCACTCGTTTCTCTTCATATGGCTAATTTGCGTCCTAATCTCAACACACACTTTGTTCAAAATTTGTCTCCTTCTGCTTAAATAGTTCCTAGTTCCTACCGACTTTACATGGTACGATTCGACGATTGCACTAGGACATCAATCTGCGAAGAAGCGGTAGTTAACCACTCTGATGCCGTAATTTGGAGCACCTTATGCACCTACAGTAAAGAAAGAAGAATTGTATATGTCAAACAAAAGGTCATAAGGTAGCAGTTTGTTAATTTGTTATGAATTCCGCTTGACAATCTAGAGACCAACTCCATTTCACATTTTTACGAGATGATTCAGTGGTGAAAGTTGTCAATGTAAGTCAAGTAGGAAGGGGTCATCATAGCTAACCAGTTTACGGAAACACCACGAGATGAAGATATCCATCATTTTAGGCTTAGCTTTCACTGCTACAATATTCCAGGGTATCGGTAGCCCGCAATCTTTATCTGCTATAACACGACTTAGCATATCAGCTTCATTCGAACGTCAAATCCATCTTCACAGTATCAGAGTCCTTATTCAGCCAATACTGAAAGAACCATATTAGGCCTGTTTACTGAATACATTTTAACTACTCCCGTGACTGGAATGTCGTTGTAATAAGCTGGAGCACCTGGAACCTCTTGTTGCATGGTGTTCATAATTTGCTACAATATGGACGGTGCAGTTATAATTCTGTAATACAGTCGGTTTTATCCAAAGTCGTGTGTATTAATGGTAAGTTAATTGTAAATAAGCTACTGATACTTTCAAATTTGCAAAACAGCTAACCGCAACCCAGCTTAGTAAAGAGATCTTCGGGCAAGAATGAAGGATACTGGTGGGTTTCCAGGGCTCCCCTCAGACCGGTTAAGAAATCAACGAACAAAGAGGCACTGTCTTAGGGTTTCGTAAACATCATTATCGGTGCAGCGTATTCCGCGAAAGTTAAAGACTCGATAACACCAATTTACTGAAACATTTCTAGCTCCTGTTCAGTCACTAGAAGGAATATATGTGGCACAGGTCTTTCACATTAACTAGCGGCTCCGCTCCAGGTCGAAGGACAGGATTAACTATGATAATTAGTAATACTCGGATTAAAAGTCTAATATCTTAACGGAGTATTTTGTTTTCGATAAATTCGCTTCCGGTCCTACAATTATATATCCAACCTAATAACCCGAATGGCCAGGTTAAGAGCAAATTATTGTACCAACTGCGAATTCTTAAAATAGTGCAATCTATAGAAAGTAGAAACAAATGAGCACCAATGAACACAATACGTTTGGAATTCGTAATAGGCGGATCGACAAGTACAGAAGAATCATTAGTTCATACAAATACCACATCAGCCACAGCATAAATTGAGATCTGAATTACTGTAATCAACCGTACTTCTTAGGCTGACTGTGTTGTATATACATTCTGCATATCTCAGAATATACTCATTAGTAATAATAATAATAATTTATTCTCAAATAAAAGTTGGCTACATGAGGCATACCAGTTTACAGGCAAGACCAAATTGATACAAATGATATAATATCCACTGTAGTAAATTACATAGCTGGGTTGATAATTTATGAAATATGAATGTAGATGGTTTAAATCAGTACAACAGTTGGCGCGCTTTACGAAAGTTGCGTTGCGAATGTACAACTGGTTGTCAAGGTTAGGTCCATTGAAGGTGGGAGCTTCTAAATGTCGCAACCTTATGTCCCTTTGGAATGTCTAAGGCTTTGGGAATGGTGCAGGATAAAATCTTTCGTTACTTATCACAAGGGGGCTGAAAGAGGGAGCAAGTAAAGGAAAACACGAGAGGCAGAGTAGCCAATATTCACGAAGGAATGTTTAAGGTATGATTACTCAGTCTAATTTTCTTTTATTAAGGTATTTGTTAAGAAAGAGCATTTTAATAGGTTAAAGAAAATAAGTGTTAACAAGGTGTGAGTGGACATACAACTGACAAATGGAGGCGATTCGGAAAGGAGCTGAGAGTATGGGATTATGTGAGATTATAAAATAAAATATAGTGCTAGAAACAGTATTGTGATATACATTTGGCTATCTTCCTTTTTTCATCGAAGCTATAATAATAATATATTTCTGCATGTGCAGGTACACACCGTTTTTACAGGCATGATCTATTAATTACAACATTTGTTGGTTCGCAAAATGCTTCCCAACTTATTAAGTTTATAGTTGTTATAAAGT